TTTCTGAAAATTTAGTATTAATCTTCTGGATTTCTATCTGTAGTTTTTGTATCATTTCTAATTTTTCATTTGTTTTGTCATTTTGTTCTTGTATTATCTTTCGAAATTGTTCTAAAGTTTTCTCTGTGTTTTTCTCAATTTTGTCAGTGTTTTCCTTGTCTGTCTCTCAATCCGCTTAACGTACCTCAATAAAAATTTTTTGAATTCCTTATCAGGGAGTTCAAATGCTGCTTCTTCCTCAGGGATGTGTTCTGGGTCTTTATCCTGGTCCCTTTTTTCTACTGCTTTATCTTGCTTCTTTGTGTGGACTGTGTTGTCTCAGAGACATTGTGAAGTTTTTGTGTTCATATTTAATTGGTGATTTTATGTTGGAGGGACTTAACCACAATTTTTGTTTTCTTTGGTTTGTTTGGATGTTATCTGTATAACTAGGGTACTGTGTTCCTCTGTTCACTAGTTGGCAGCACTTATACACTCACCATTTGTCTCCTTTCCCATTGTTAGCCTCCCATATGTCCCTGCTGTCCTTGGCCAATGGACCCTATTCTTAGGTTCCTGGAATCTGAATGAGAATGCTGTCACTTTAAATATCCAAAATGGCTACCACTTGTTATATTCAAAATGACTGCACCCTTAGTCACTTTAAATATCCAAAATGGCAGCTGCTTGTAAACAATCAAAAACCCTCTGGACAGCCAAAAGTCCACAGCTCAGGTTGTGTCCCTCCTTGCTGTTTCCCTTCTTAGTCACAGGCCACCAGTGCAGTCGTCCCTGCAGCCCTTGGCGACCAGGGCTGATCTTTAGGTGAATTCTCAGGTCCCAACACCACTTGGAAATATTCAGGCCGTTGTTCCCATCAGAGTAGCTGACTGTCCACAGCTCCATCTGTCTCATACTCACCATTTTCATTCAGGTTTTTCCACTGTTTGGTGCCTAATCCACTTCTGTATACTTCCTTTCAAAGCTCAGGGCTCCAGGATTATTTTCTGTGCCTCTGTCAATTGTTTTCTCTTTTCTTTGTTGAAGAGGGTCTGTGTAGCTTGTGTGCCTATTCTTCCATCTTACCAGAAGTCCACATACCAGTTTTTATTAAATGGTTTTATTTTATTTTTGGTTCTGTACTTTTTCTTTTGATGTGTAAATGATTCTGACTTTGTATATGATACGACTTACTACATACAGTATTTGTGGCAGAAAGCAGGAGAGTGTGGTAATAAGAAGGTAGCTTTTGGGGCCAGACAGAGATGAGGTTTGAATTGTACACCCACACTCACTTTGCTAAATGGCCTTGAGCAAGTGACTTATACCTTTCTGAGACACAGTTTCCTATCTATAAAATAGGTATGGCCCAATCTCCCTCACAGTGTAAATTGGGAGGTGTATTATGAAGCATTTAGTACGATGTGTGTCCCAGAGTGGACCCATAATGGAAGTCATTTATGATATATTTAGAGAAAGAAATGATAAGAACTTAAACAACACTTGTTTGTTTTACCCAAAGATAGGTAGGTTCACCAAACTCCACAGAGACCTTTATACTCAAAATCCCATGAGGCATCCAGTTCAATAAAAACTTCTTAAAATGTGGATAAAAATCTTCCTTTTTTATTGACTGCATGTTGACTTTCTAAGGAAGGCTGGGACTTGAGATGTTATTATTTTCTTCAAAGATAGGTCTGCTTATATTTCTAAGTAAATAGTCATTATTAGTCATTTATTTGCAGTATCAAAAGTTGTCAGCCAATATGACTGTCCTGGACACATAGTTGAAATTTTAGATGTCTATGTGAGTTGCCAGTTTTCTGCATTCTACTTTTTGTGTAATTGAATTTTTAATTTCTGGTTTCTCAGTAAGGAAGAGGAATCCATGTGTCCCAAAATTGTGATGTGCCTCAAAATTGTTCTCTTGGCAAGCATACAAAAATCTAGTCAGTCTCCAAAGGGCAAATTGTCTTTGGGGACTCAGCTGATCTAAAATTTGCAACAGAGTCTGGTGGAAAATACTACTCTAGGATTTTCAGAACATGGGCAACATACATTTAGTCCTATGTTAAAATAATTCTCATACAAATTAATTTTGTTTACTTTTCTAGCTTGTGTTTGTAGGAGTTTGTTTGCTTATTTTGAGATGACAAACATTCCTAACAGAAAAGTATAAGACCATCTTTGTGTGTCTGTGTATTAAAGTTGAATTTAAAAGTTGATAATTAACAATAACATTTGCTCAACTTTTTGGACCATTATAGGGGTTTGCCAACTTGTTAATAAGATGGAGGAGAATACTGGCAAGGTTAAGCCTTTCAACCGAAATGATGAACAATTTCTGGAAGCTTTTGTCATCTTTTGTGGCTTGGGGATCCAGAACACACAGATGTATGAAGCTGTGGAGAGAGCCATGGCCAAGCAGATGGTCACATTGGAGGTAGGCTAAAGCTTACAGGACCTCCTGACCTCTACAATCAAACACACAGCTTCTACCTTTCCTTGTGACAATTCATGGTATTTTTTATATCATTATGTCCTCATGGAAAAAATATGTAATATGCATTATCAAATTCATATTATCCTCATTTAAACAGCTGAGAAAACTTAAGGCCCAAAGATTTTGAGAAAGTTGTTGACGGTCAGATGGCCAAACCAGACACACACTGTTTTTTCTCTAGTCCTCTGCTTTTTTTCTTCAGAAAGCAATAGTTGGCTTTAATAATCTATTCTCACAAATGATTACTAATGTTGTGGTCTACTTGTCCCTTCTCCAGTCCTCCCCATCTCTTTATGAAAACAGTTATGAAAAAACATTAAAAGACAAAATAAACAGAAACCTTAGGCACTCTTAGAGAATTAGGTGTGAGGAAGAGGGAAAAAAATCAATGTAAAGTAAGAATGGTTTAACCTCCTAGATAAAAAGTAGTATGAACGAGTTTTATGTTGGAAATTCATACATATCACATATTTATGGATCAATCCTTTTGAAAATTCTGATTCAATAAATATTAGATAGGTGCCGAGAATTATATTATTAAAAAGCTCTCCCCAGTGACTCTGAATGTGTAGGCAAGGTAGTGAACCACTGGCTTAAGTGGACTGACCTAAGAGTCAGGCTCGCTCCCAGGTAGGATTAGCCTACCCACGAGGTGCCAGCCCTTTGTGGGGCTAACTGCCTAACTGCTTTTAAAATATTCACTTGGTATAATAACAGTATTTCTTACCTGGGAAATAGAGGTCAAAAAATAGAAATGTCTCTATTTAATTACTCATATCAAAAAAAAAAAAAAACCAAACTCACTGCTGTCGAGTCAATTTGACTCATAGCAACCCCTTCTTGGGTTTTCATGGTGGTATCTCTAAGGAAGTAGATTGCCCGATCTTCTTTCCAAGGAGTGGCTGGTGAGTTTGAACTGCCCAGCCTTCTGGCTAGCAGTCAAATGCCTTAGGCACTATGCCACCAGAGCTCCCAATTACTCATATACCAGTGTAAAATAAATTTGAATATTTGTATATTCTGATCTAGTTGAGATCAGTGGAAAATTAGTACTGGGCTATAAGAACTTTTCCTTTGACTGTTAATAAACACTTACCTTAAAGACATGAAAAGGTATACATTATAGAGAGAGAGATTGCCTAATAGCTTTTGAATTTCACTTTACTTTCTAAGACACCTCATCCTGAATATGTAACACTAATAGTGTGATACAGAATTATGTAAAAAACCTTAAATTGTAAATCTTTGAAAATTTCAGTTTCAAATTTATATACACAGAAAGAGAGACTGACTGACCCTAAAACTCAAAACCAAACTCACTGCCATCAAGTCATCTCCAACTCATAGTGACTCCTTTTGGGTTTATGGAAGTAGATCACCCCACCTTGCTTCTGCGGAGCAGCTGGTGGCCTTGAACTGCTGGCCTTCTGGTTACCAGTCAAGTGCCTTATCCACTACACCACCAGAGCTGTGACCCTGGGTGGTGCAAATGATTAACACATTTAGCTGCTAGCAGAATAGTTGTAAGTTTGAGTCCACCCAGAGGTACCTTGGAAAACAAGCCTGGTGATCTACTTTCCAAACAATCAGACACTAAAAACCCTATGGAGCACAGTTCTACTGTAACACACATGGGTTTGCCATGAGTCTGAATCATTCTGAATCATCATTACTGCAACTGGTTTATCAAATGCTTGCTCCGTATTCTAATCCTATACACATACTAATATGTGAGCCCAAGGCCAAGTCATTACAATCCCTTCGCTTCAGTACCCTCAAACTGTTAACTGATAAACTTGTAGATGAACTACTATCTTCTCAGCTCTTGAATACTGTGAGTGTAGTGTGACCCCTGAATCGATAAAGTTATGTGCCAGCCAGGTAGTTTTTCTTTATGAATTCTACAGTGGCTACAAGTGTCATGTAAGAGCCTCTTCTAGACTACTTTTTTCCCAAATGTCAACATTAAAATGTCAGTTTATGCAAACAGTTTTTGTACACAAGCAAAAATAATTAAAGTCATTATTTTTTTTCTTTTGCCTATTTGGTTGGTTTAAAAAACAATTCAAAATAAAATTTCTACCAAGTTTAAGCTAATAGTTATTTCTCCTGTGGTATATAAGTAATGTATTTGCTATATCAACAACATCAGAATAAAATTACTAGAGGTTTTTTTGAACATCAGGAATATAACTTTTTGTGTTCTGAAACAAGCAATTGAATCTAAGTCTGGGATTTTCTTGCTTGTTAAAGAAAATAGCAACCAAGGTTTGGGGATTCTGAAGAATCTAGTTATCTCTACCAGAAGTTTCAGCAGAATTCCAAGCTTAGAATTCCAGTCCCCATTTGATGGTCTTTTCTTGTGTAACCTGTACTCCTTTTCTTCCCCTAAAGGTTCTGTCTTATCATGCTTCTGCTGCAGAGGAAGAAACAAGAGAGCTACAGTCTTTAGCGGTAATTCTCCTTCTTTTTAAAAATTGCTAACTGCAGGCATCTAATTAATAGGTAAATATGTTTTGTTCAGGCTGTCTGCTTCTACTAGTAATGGTCTCCTAGAGATTTAATCAAATTTGGTAAATATTGAGATGGACACTTTTTAAACGTAAAAATGTTTAATCAGCTCTTATTTGTAGAGGTACAACATCATTGATAATACAAAGCAAAAATTAGAACTTATATTGACATTTTCAATTCCTGGGAAAACAGGGACAATGGCTGAAAGATGGTTGTGTGGCTAGGGTAATGACAACAAAACTTTTATGGTTTGTCACTGATAATCTAGTTTGTATTATCAAGAATTGAGTAATTTTAGTTTCTGGACCATATGGTTATGGACTTCACCAAAGAGGATATTTGATATTGGGTTCAAATAAGGTCAGTTCCTGATTTCTCATTGCATTCTCAGTGAGTATATGGTGGGAGAAGAACACATTGATATGTAAGTAGGTCTTGGTGGGGATTAATGAAAATTTAAGGTACTTACACATTTATAACCAAGACTAGCTTTCTAAGTTTAAATTTATTTGAGATGGCATAGATATGGGCTATATGAGTTGTGACTGGAGCTGTGTAAGGAACAAGAAGGCTGTGATCAGATGATTGACATTCTGTGTCTGTGTCACTGTCGGAGATCCTTGCATGATAACATACAGTTACACACTCAGCTCTAACAAGAAGATCGGTGGTTTGAGTCTACCCAGAGGTGCCTCAGAAGAAAAGCTGGTGACCTACTTCTAAAAAATCAGCCATTGAAAATCCTATGGAGCATAGTTCTACTCTGACACGTATGAGGTTGCCATGAATCAGACTTGACTTAACAGCAACTGATAGTGATGTCATTGTCATAATCATGATAGTGTGCCATAAATTAAGCCCTTAAATTTTCTCATGTAAACTATACAACTGTATTATAAAGACCACAATGAAGCCTAGAGAAGCCAAATTACTTGCTCACCGTCACATTGCCAGTAAGTGGGAGAGTCAGGAAGCGAACTTGTACTGTTATCCTTCTAAGCCCATGCATATAACCACCATGCTATCTGTTATGAGCAGTTAGGGAGAAAGAATATTAAAGATTACAGATTTTGATATTGGTAATTCAAAGAATAATGGTGCCATTAATTAACAAAAGTAGAAATATTAAGATGAGAGATTTGTTTTGAGGCAAAGTTGATAGATTTGATTTAGGGTGTTGTAAATTTGAGGTGCTGATAGAACAACCAAGTGGACGTCTCCAGCAGCCAGGCAAAGCAGGACTAGAAGGGTAAGGAGGCGGTGGTCAGAACCAAAGGTAGAGATTTACAAGTTAGTAACGCCATGGTAGTGAAGTTATGGGGGTGAAACTATTGGGATACAGTACAGAGAGATCTTTGAAAGACTAAGCCAGAGCTCTCATGAATATAGTTTTATGTGGAAGGAGCCCAGAAAGAAACCAGCTAAGAAGAAAGCAAAGTGGTGGTTTAAAAGGGAAGAAGTTTTAGGAGAGTGAAGTAGCACTGAAGGCAGAAGAGGATAGCATTTCAAAATAGGAGATCTCATCAGTTGTAGGAAGGCTGAAATACAGGAAGCGAGAACTAATACTGCTGTATACAGTGATCAAGTGATTGGTGAGAGAGCAACTTGAGGGGAGTAAAGTTATAAAAGATAGGAGGAAATGGCAAGGAAGTGGAGGAAGTTTTCTAATAAGTTTTGTGTGAAAAAGAAAGTAGAAAAACGGCTATGAAAGGTGTTGGCTGAATTGTAAAGTTTTTTATTGTCATTTTTGTTTTTATGAGCAGGAGTTGCTTACAAGCCAGAAGACACTATGTTCTTAGATAAAAGAGAATAATGGGTTGAATGTGAGACTTATAATCCAGCATAGTGAAGAGATACGGACCTTGAAGTGTCCTGGCCATGAAAGATGAATGTTTTATAAACTCAACAGCAAAAAGACAATAGTCATAATAATAGTCATTATTGGACACTTACTATATATCCAGCATGTTTTAAGTTCTTGGTGTGTGTTAGCTAAGTGACTTAATCCACAACCTACCTACCAGGTACATATTATTGGCATTTTGTGAAAAGAAATTTGAGACTTAGACTTTTAAAATGCCCTACTCAGGTTCTCATGGAGTTCCTAAAGACCAAACCAAACTCACTGCCACAAAGTCGATTCTGACTCCTAGAGACCCCCACTGGGTTTCCAAGGCTATAAATCTTTACGAAAGTAGATTGCCCTGGAGACATGAATAGACACTTCACCAAAGAGAATATTCAGGAGGCCAGCAAATACATGAAGAAATGCTCATGATCAGTAGCCTCAAAACCAAAAAACAAACTCACTGCTGTCGAGTCGTATTGAACTCATAACGACCCCTCCTTGGGTTTCTGAGGAGCTCTGATGGCATAGTGTAGTGCCTAAGGCATTTGACTGCTAACCAGAAGGCTAGTGGTTCAAACCCACCAGCCACTCCTTGGAAGGAAGATTGGGCAATTCCATAGTGATATGGACTCGGAATCCCAAGGAGGGGTTATTATGAGTTAGATATGACTCACCAGCAGTGAGTTTGGTTTAGGAACTCTGGTGGTGTAGTGTCTAAGGCATTGGACTGCTAACCAGAAGGCTGGCGATTCAAACCCACCACTCACTCCTTATAAGGAAGATGGGGCAATCTACTTCCGTAGTGATAAACACTAAACTCACGCCGTCAAATCGGATCTGACTCATAGCGACCCCTGCTTGGGTTTCCAAAGCGGTATCATTACAGAAATAGATTGCCCAATCTTCCTTCTGAGGAGTGGCTGGTGGGTTTGAACTGCCAGCCTTCCGCTTAGCAGTCAAATGCCTTAAGCACTACACCACCAGAGCTGCTCATTAGCCACTGGAGAGATGCAAATCAAAACAACAGTGAGATATCATCTCACCCCAGCACTAATGGCAAAGTTCAACAAGACAGAAAATAACAAATACGAGGATGTGGGGAGATTGGGACTTTCATACACTGCTGGTGGGACTGTCAAATTATATAATGTGACACTGTGCAAAGCAGTATGATGATTCCTTAAAAAGCTGGAATTAGAAATACCATTTGACCCAGCAATCCCATTACTAGGTGTATATCCTAAAGAAGTGAGAGCCAGGACAAGAACAGATATATGCACACCCATGTTCATCACAGCACTATTTACAATAGCAAAAAGATGGAAACAACCTAGGTGCCCATCAGCAGAAGAATGGGTAACTAAACTATGGTACATACACATAATGTAATACTATGCAACCCTAAAGAATAATGTAGAATCTGCAAATAATGTAGACCCGCATAACATCGATGAATTTGGAGAAAATTATGCTGAGTGAAGTAAGTCTGTCACAGAAGGAAATACAGTATTAGTTCAATATTGTAAAAAGTCAAGGAAAGGTTTATATATGGGAGGAAACTTTCTTTGTTGATTACCAGGGGTAGGAGGGGAGAGGAGGGAACACTGCAAAAAAAAACAAAAAGGTGCATTGACCCATGTTACTTTAGTTTTGTGTATATCACTATACATAAATTAAATTTCAATAAAATGTATTTTAAAAAGAAAGTAGATTGCCCCATCTTCCTTCTGTGGAGCAGCTGATGGATTTGAACCACTGACCTTCTGGTTAGCAGCCAATTGCCTTATCTGATATGCCACCAGAGCTCCTTAGGTGACACAAGTGGCTAAGTGCTTGGCTATTAACTGGGTAGTTTGAATCCACCCAGAGGTATCTGAGAAGAAAGATCTAGTGATCTATTTCTAAAAGTATAGCATAGTTCTGATGTGAAATCCATGGTTTGCCATGAGTCAGAATTGACTTGATGGGAACTGGTGTTTTGGTTTTTTTTGTTTGTTTGTTTTTTTCACTCAGCTTTTCAGAGGTCATAAGTGATGTTGCCATTCAGGCCAGAACAGAACCCAAACCCCATTACAATCCACTGGAGTTAGAGCAAAAGGACATAGAAAGGGAGCTTGTAGACATTCTCCGTTTCCACAGTGAATCACTATTGGTCATACAGCTGAAGGAACATTCTATGATTTGACCTGAAAGGTTAAGCTTCTTTTGAGGCCAGCCTCATACTGAATTGACTATATTTAATTTTTGTATTGCTGATAATATTTGCAGTAATGAGCAGTTTTTCATTTGCTTACATAGGCTTATAGGTTTAAAATATATTTCACCTCAGTCTTATTGGCTCATTTGTCTTTTCCTCTTGGAAGGATACAGTTTTCAATTAAATATATATTGCAAGTTGGATATTAGCATATGGAGAAATGCATTTGAAGTACTTGCAGGCACTTTGGAGTTATTAGGTTAGATCTAAAATGAGGCCAAGGTTACACTCTGCCCTTTGTTTTAGATAAATAAAACTAGCAAATAGAGTAAATGCTAAAGATAATGCTAAAAAAAAAATCACTAGGATAAAAACTTTGTTTCTCGCTTTAAAAATAGTATAGTCTTTTCAGAAAAAATCTGAAAATTATCCTCTCAATTATGTTTATAATTTTAGCAAGAGAAAAACACTTTGAAATAACTGAAAATTGCTATATTGCCTTATTGTTCAAAACCATCTGTTCTTGCATTTGGAAACTAGGTTTCTGGCAGCTGCATTTTAAATTTGAGGTCACTAGCTTATAGATCAAGAAATTCATTTAAATTAGTTAAAATTCAGCACTGATTTCAATTCTAGTTTTCTGTCAACCTAATAAAAATTCCTTTAAAGTCCCAACTACACAGGTGTGTGTCATTAGTCTGCGTCACCCAGCAATTAGCAAAAGTGCTGTCTTTGTCTGATTGTTTATCTCAGTTTAACACCTAAAATAAATTTTGGGGAAAAGAGCTGTCAAATGTTTTCTTAGCTCTTTTTAAAAATTTGTTCTTAAGAGAATTAAATCATGTACTGAAGTATATTACATATTTACGCCTATATCCAGAAAAGTTCTCTGGT